CAAGCTTCCTATTTATTTCTGTAACTGCTGTTTGTAAAACACTGATTAAATAAAGAGTGGATAAACGATAGCATTTTCATGAAACAAGTTCAGCTCACTACAGGCAAAGTATGATTCGTTCATCTAAGTAGGTTTAGAACAAATCCAAAGAAGAGCTATTTTGCATTCACAGCAGTGGCCTTTTCTCCCCAGTGTGACATGGCTTGAGTGCATGTGCATCCCATTGGCAGGGCGGGTCTGGATCAGCGCACAGCAGGGACAGCAGAGTGCCTGTGTGAAGTCTGCTTCATTGGGAAAGAGAGAACCTAAAGAATATTCATAAAGGCCAAATTAAAATATTATATGAAGCCTTGATTAGGCTTGACAGGTTTCCTAAAGACATTCTTGTTGTTGCTAGTGCTTAACATCAGCTGTAGATTTGTGAAAGGGCAGCCACCCCCCACCTCCTGCAGCCTTTAAGTAATGGTGGGTGAGACTCTGCACTGTGTTCTGCTGAACCCTTTCATTCTGAGTTGCATATGTATGCTACTTGAGTTTCTGTGGTGTGAATTTTATCCCAAAACTTCATATTTACAAATACAGTGGTAAATGTACTACCCATAATAATGATACAATACAAAAAGCATAGCGCAGGTAACCTCTATGTGATTTTCTCATACTTATAAGAATAATTCAGAACTTTAAGGTGGATTAGCAATACGTTAGGATTCATTTCTTTGATTTTTTTTGAAAAGTCACAAAACCCCTTTACTCAGTTCAGATACATTCATTTTCCTGTTTTCATGTGATTAATTTCAACAGATAACCATGCCTCACCTTGAAGCTTGAAATGTTTTTGGGGCCACTTAAATTAGAAGTGAATTATTGTAGGCTCTTGATAATTTGGAGGGAGATGGGTAGTAAGGAAAATTGGAGAGAAACCTCTTCCTCTCTTTTCCTGATGTCCACATACAAATGCATAGCAATAACATTCCTCAGGAAGTGCTTGAGGTTGATTACAGTGACTTGTGAATACAGGGAAATATGGGTAATTTAGCTGAAGATTTCAAAGTATACAGCTGAAAAATAACAGGAATATTGTTAATGTGGATGGCAGAAATTGTTCTCAAAAGAAAAAAAATTGGTATTTCTCAGTATAATTTTGGTCAAAGCAAGTTTCTATTAATACAGCTAGAAATACTTGAAATTACAATTTTTTATTCTTTAAAAACTAAAGAAAGAAATGAAACATCAATTCTTCTTTTCTCTGAATAAGATGAATTAATTAACCTTTTGAAATTGCTTGGATATTCATAGGTGTTTTGAAATTTATTCTTTGGAAATTAGCTTGATACTTTTGTTCTTGATGAATGCTGAGTGTGGAAGTGTTAGAGTTGAGGTCTTTTTCTTTATATTTTTATTCTTCTATATATTCCATAATCTCAAAGTGAAATGTAGCTAGTTATGAAGAATGGTATCAGTTGATTTTTTTTTGTTTTGTTTTGCTTTTTGGTTTTTTTTTTTTTCCTGTGCATTAAAATCCAAATACTCATTCTTGATTCTATCACATAAACATAAAAAAAGGTCTTTTAAGTTTGTGATTAAAGCTTTTGAGGTTAAAAGAAACACAGACAAGCAGTTGGTTAGAGCATGGTGCTGATAACACCAGGGCTGTGGGCTTGATCCCCAGAGACCATTCACAAAAGAGGTGGACTTGATGATCCTTGTGGGTCCCATCCAACTAAGAATATCCTGTGATCCTGAGCATAGGAAAGAGAACCCATTTGAGTGAGAGGAGGGTATGGCACCCAGTGTGTGGCCAGGACTGCAGGGCCAGAGGCATTTCTGGAGGCCAGACAGCGCGGGACAGTTTCCTGCCATTTAAAATCAGGGAAGAGTTAGAGGGCAGGGAAGAGGCTTAGAGAGCGGGGAAGAATTACGTATTTGTGTTTTGTCTTGTTTTCTGCTTCTTCTTTAACACTTGCCCTCACCCCAAATTTTAACTTTCTGTGCAAATGAAATTTGGTTTGGTCAAGCTTGGAAGCACTTTAGTTTTTTTAAGGAAGCTCACTGAGGACAAAGCCTAAACAGATCCTTGCCTCAAAGCTGTGGTTCCCTTTTAGACCCTGTCACAGTCATATAAAGAAGTGTGTAGTAGAGTGAAAATTTAAGTGTACTTAAAGTACACTTTAGTGTACTTACAGTCTTTTTCTCTAAGCTGGTTATTTTGTCTTTAAACTTAAAAATCAGCCTAATGCAGATAAGAGAGAGGGTCAGATACATCACTAAGAGCTCTGTGTCGGCATGCACATGAACATAGAATTACTGAGCAGCGGTCTGCTCAAAGGGTCATGTAAATGTGGTTTGTAGGTACTCACCTGTAATGATTTATTAAAATGTTTTACTACTTCATAGGACAAGCAATTTACTACGAGTCTATCTGTGCATCTCATCATTGTTTATAATTCAGTTCTAAAAACAATGTATTTATAATCTAATGAAAGAATTTATTTTTTCCCAGTTAACAGAGTCACATAGCAGAGTTTTTGTTCATATTTACATTTCCAAAGACAGTATTTGTTGCATCAAGGCTAAGATTTTTATCATTTTCAGTAGTGTTTTCACTAATAATTTTCAGCCTGCCTTAGAATTGGATTGACGATGTTTTGATGACAAGCATGTTTTTAGGTGCAGTGTGATTTTTTGACTATTGATGAATGGAGATGTGATGAACTCCCAAGTGGGCAAATTTTTCATCTGGAGTACAGTAACAACCTGATCTTTAGAAAGAGGAATTTTTTCATTGAGCACACAAACCACACACGAGGTGTAATGACATGGTAAGGTAGAAATTCATAGTTTGCAAGATAAGCAGTTTATTTCAATCACAAGTGTTTTTTGTATCTCTGCTCTAATTGAAGATTTTCTGCAGTCTTTATTTTTTTAAAATGGCAGTTGTTCAAAGTGATGTTTTGAGGAAATGGCATCTCTCAACTCAGTGTAAATACACCCAAATTAAATACAGCAATAATTATGTATTTGTGGAAGGCTGGTTAGAGATAAAGTAGCGCAGTCTTGCTGAAATGGAAATTGAAATGTGTTTATATTTAATATGCATTAATTTTTCTGGATAGCTAGATAGATCTTGGCAACTATAATTCAAACTTAATTAGCAAAAAAAATATGGGGGATTTTCCATGGGCTGAATCTGCCAGCTACTATGGCTGTTTCAGCCAGCTAGTGTTCATTCTCAGGGTTTTAGCACTACAAGTGAACTGTTCAGCCACAGTGTTCCCTTAAAAAAGAGACAATGAGGAGCAGAGGCTAAATATATAGCCTATCATCAGCCCATTCCCAAACTGGTACTGAAGTTAATGTTGGATGAACAGATGAAAATTGTGTGGAAGGGAATGAGAGGTTTAAAGCTCATGGGAATCAGTAATAAGATGTGGCCACATATTCCTTCCAGACATTCAAAAAGAAGATGTTGTAAATAATTTGTATCTGCCATAGTTCATTTCACTTATTCCTGTGCAGTACCAAAATTATGCTGTTAACCTGCTTTGAAAATAGTAAAGGCTCAGCCTGGCTCCTTCAACAGCTTTACTCACAGAAATAGTCTTGCACTCGGGTCATGCAGGTGAATGAAGATTGTGTGGCTTGGCCCCAATTTCTTCATAGGACAGAGAATTCCTCAGTCAGAGGAAATATCTTCTGTGTGATCAACTGTCTGCAGATAGACAGCTTTTATTTGATAAGTAGTTGCAGGGTTTTTTTCTGAATTGTTTATTCTTTTGCTCTTATGTGGTAAGTCAATTCACAGTGTGTATGAGGGGAGAAGTTAAAAAACCTGAAAAATATAGGATTTTTTAACCTCTGGCTTGTGGATTTCATGTTGAACTGGGTGAATATTTCTGGTTTTAATAATGGAAAAAGCAACTACATCATCTTGCAAGGATATAGCCTTTCATTTATTTTTGTTGACATTTATTATAACAATATGTTGCATGTCAAATATTTACCATAGACCTTGGAGATTTAAGAAAATGGTAGGAACAAGTTGATTGTAATTAGGTGTAAGTTACTCCTTGGGGCATTCCAATTGGACACAAGAGGAAACTTTTACAATGAGAACAATCAGAAGTTGTTCATTGAGGTGATAGAAGTTGTATCATTGAAGTGATAGACTCCTCAACATTGGATACTTAAGTTCCAGTTGGACAGGGTGCTGAGCCATCTTGTCTAGACTGTTCTTTTGCTAAGAAAGTTTGGACCAGATCATCCTTGAAGTCCCTTCCAACCCAGTATTCTATGATTCTGTAATTCAATAGCTTCTGTTATTTGGAGAGTTACCAGCTGGTATGTCTCTGTCTTCAAGAGCTTATTCTTTCTATAATAATGTCACAGATTGTGTGGAACAAGCATTTTTTAGCTGGATTTTAATTTTATTTTAGTTGTAATAAAGGAAAGACTAGAAGTAGCCTACTTGAAATCACCACTGTTTTTCAAAATGTATTGTGTAGTTTTTCTCCTTTTTGCATGCAGTATGGAAGGAAGATAATATGGTAATTGGCATCAAAGTATAAAGTATAGTGCAGTAGAAATATGAATAAAAAAATTAAGCAGTTCAGAAAAAGTTATTTAAGTGTATGAAAGAGATCCAATTCATGCCTTCAAGAGAAGAGTTTTGGCTCCTACCTTGGCAGCAAAAACTAAGTTGTCAATGTGATTGCTTAGTTCATTGTTCTCTAATATGATTAATTCATGTGTATGTTCAGGAATTATTCAATATTAAATATTCAGTTTGGGAGGAAAAGTGAAATGTATCTCTAATCCTAAAAACAGTAGGTGAAGAGTAATCCCATGCTTGTATTCTCAATGTTTGAGTTTCAATTCTCAAAGTTTGAGTTTCTCCAAGGATGAAATTCTTAGACATACAGGAAATACTGAGAGCTTGCTATTGCAGTATGGCAGAGAAATAACTTGAGTGAGCAATGCTAGCATCTTATCTTGTTTTCCAGGTCCATGGGGGAGATGCATGGGAGATGAATGCGGCCCAGGAGGCATCCAGACGCGAGCGGTGTGGTGTGCCCACGTGGAGGGCTGGACCACGCTGCCCACGAACTGCAAGCAGCCCGAGCGGCCGGACAACCAGCAGAGCTGTTTCCGTGTCTGTGACTGGCACAAGGAGCTGTACGACTGGCAGATCGGCAGCTGGAACCAGTGCCGGCCTGTCCTCTCCCGCAGCCACGAGAAGCCCCTGGAGTGCCTCCGAGGGGAGGAAGGGATCCAGACAAGGGACATCACCTGTATACAGAAGTCCAACGGGGTTCCAGCTGAAGATGTCATCTGTGAGTATTTTGAGCCAAAGCCCCGGCAGGAGCAGGCGTGCCTCATCCCGTGCCGGCAGGACTGCATCGTGGCCGAGTTCTCACCCTGGTCCGAGTGCTCCAAGACCTGCGGCAATGGGCTCCAGCATCGGACGCGGCACGTGGTGGCTCCGCCGCAGTTCGGCGGGTCAGCTTGCCCCAACCTCACAGAATTCCAGATGTGCCAGTCCAGCCCATGCACTGTAGAAGAAAGCCTGTACAGCCTAAACGTGGGACCATGGAGCGCATGCTCGGTGCCCCATTCGAGACAAATAAGGCAAGCGAGGAAACGAGGGAAGAACAAAGACAAGGAAAAGGAGAGAGAAAAGGCAGTTCGAGATCCTGAGGCTCGCGAGTTAATTAAGAAGAAGAGGAATCGTAACAGACAGAATAGACAGGAGAACAAATACTGGGACATACAAATTGGGTACCAAACAAGGCAGGTCACGTGTACTCACAGAAATGGGAAAACTGCTGCTCTGAGGTAATCACTATTTATGTTTGCATACTTTAATTTTTATCTGTTTAAAGTAAAACATGCATAAGTGTATTCTTTTACATAAACCCAAATCTCAGAATGGAGTTCATGCTATTTCCACTTCTACATCCATCATCAAGCTGAAGTGTTTTCTGTGACGTGAAACATGCAAACTGTGCTGGTGATCATACTAAGCATCACATACATGTGTGCTGTTAAGCTGTACTAGTCCCTAGCCTCTGTTTTCTTAAATAGATTTCCTCCAAATGCTTGAAGATACATGTCAAATATCTGCTCTGTTTCTGTGGGTTCAGGCAGGCGCCTGCTATGTAACAAGTCATGCATTTTTGAAACAGGTGATGTAGATGATGGGCACAAAGACTAACAGCAAACTGGACTGAGTCAGACTTACAGCAAAAGTACAAAACAACAGAGAAGGATGCATGAGAAAGCAGCAGCTACTCATTCCCTTATATTTTTTTAAAATAGATGAGCATGAAATATTGTTTGTCCCTCTTGATTCCTGTGGCAAAATTTCTGAAAGGGAGACTGTAAAACCTCTTTGCTTGTTCCATGTTTCCTCTATTTCTTTCTCATCTGTACCTTTATGCTGTCTGCCCTGGGTTTTTTCTGGTATTCACTTACATATCTTGATTTGTTATTTTACTTGTCAAGTGTTCTGTCAATCACTGATGTTTTGATAATTCTTTCCACAGGGTGTGTTTCTAAAATTGTATGATCTTTGATTTGTTTTATCTAGCATTCTTTTGCTAGCTTATTTATTTCTTTCTTATCCCCCAGAATGTTTTTATTCAACTCAAAAATCTTCTTTCTCTAGTCTTCCTTTCTTTGATGTGATTCTGTTTCTTGCCCTCTAGTTCAATGCCTGATTAATCAATTTTACTTCAACTGTGAAATTACTAGGATACCTTGCTGAATGGGGCTGACAGTCATTGCCGCTATATTAGTGTTTAGGAACTTCTTTCAAGGTGTTTTACTTTTGAGTTTTTGTTGTGCCATTTAAACATTCTATCACAGAACATGTAATTGCTTCCACCTTTCCAATTAGAAAACAAATAATATCTTGTTTTTCAAGTGTAGAAAACTTTTTTGGAGTATAATTCCTTTCAAGAGATGATCCAGCAGTGAAAGAGGAAAATGGTAAGTTCCCTGGTTTAAGGGAAGGACTGAAAGGCTGGGGTTGTTTAGTTGTAGGAGCGACATATGGGTGAAGATGTGAAAGAAAAGCCTATGAGTATGTAACAAGCCATCACAAGGAAGAGTGGAACAACCTGTTCTCTCTCTATATTATGGATGTATTGGGAAATCACAGCAGTGCTGAATGAGGCTAGGCTTCTCAATACTGGGAATAGTGAGACTGAAGAAAATTGCTTGGACCATGTGTGGCACCTACGTCTTCAAAGGTTTATAAGAAAAGGCTAGAAACATGCACGTGTCTGTGATGACACACCTGGAGTAGCTCTTGATTAGGGAAGAGCAGACTGACTGCATAGTCTTTTTGCAGTCTCTTCTATGTCTGGTTTTCTTTAGTTCTTTAAGATTTTGATCCACACTTCAATGAAGGTCTTCACAAGAAGTCTTAAAATCAGCAGCTCAGGCAGTCCCAGGTGTTGGCTGCAGCACAATCTCATTGTTGGTACAGAAAAAATTGCCTTTACTCCTTCTTTTCCCAGCCTCACATCATGCAGACCACACTGTGCCTAGCCCAGAAACATCATTACCCTTTAAATACAAGGAATAATTTATTATACATCAGTTGCTATCAGATAGCAGCCAGGCACTCTTTTTGAAAGTCCCTAAGTTTTTGAAAGGTTAAGAAAATTATTGAGTAAAAAAAAGGGAGGAATGACACAGTCATGCCAAAGCTCTGATAAATGGTAAAAGAAAGTAAAAGTACAGTTGGAAGTCAGTAGCATACTTTATTCATCATCTTTACATTCACTCTTGAATTCACTTAGATCACCAGCACTATCTTAAGTTCAGATACCACGGTGTCTTGTGCAATTTCAGGCTGGTGCAGGGAAGTGAATAAAACCCTCTTGCCTAAGGCAGTGAAACAATAGATAATACAATGTAGGATCAATTCTTCAAAGAGGTGAAAATTAAACATGATGCAACGGGCATTTTTATGTCTAATGGATAAGATTTTATGCTTTAATTGCACAAAGGATTTCTAGTAGTCTTCGCATCAATTTTAATGTAGAAATTTTTTTCCAGTTGCATAGTATAAACAAGAAAATTTGGTGAAATTACTCATGTGAGAAATTCTGGTGCTGGTAACACAGCTTTTAGAGGCCAATGTATGTCACCTGTATATCCATTTGCATAACTTATGCTGCACCCCTTCACTAAGCAATCAAATGCTTTATTCTATGACTGCCATTCCAGAATCTGAAACAATAGAATTATTTTTCTGCCCAGGGTGTCAATGCAGCCAGCTCAAATGATTTGGTAATCTTCATCACTTAGTAACTGTGTTACTAAATAATATAGACAAGTAAGGTCGCTGGAAAACCTGCCCTTCTCATGTGAAATGCTCTTCAGCTTAAATAGTCCATTTTCAGTGAATTTTGACTTTAGCAATCAGAAACAATCAACCCCCTGGCAGCATGACTGAAAGAAGAATAAAAACCCTCAGGCAAGTAATATTTTTTGCAGAGATAGCAAAATTGATATATTATAAAAAGGGTTTTAAAAATGAACTTTCAGAAGGGTGCTACAGAGAAAATGGTTCTGTAACGCTGTCAGCAAAACTTCAAAAAGGCAAAATTCTCTTGACATATCAGCACACCAGGAGTGGTAAAGAGAAGTGAAACAAGAAAATCAAAGTTTAATTTATATACTTTATTGCTGAGTGAACAATAGATAGTCTCCCGTGAAGGATGAAATATTGGATTTTGTATTGCTCGTTCTGCAATAATGTATGTGTCACACAGCCTGTGTTTGCTTTGTGTTCCCCGTAGTCTGAAATTCTGGTGCACTAAAAATATTTGAAAAATAGAAATGTTGAAGGAAAAAACCAAATTCGGTAACTAAAAGTGGCTTATAAAATGACTTTTCTCTGGATAGCTAACAAAATCTGGACAGTGCTGCTTTAGTGTAGAGGGCAACACTTGGTTGTCTGAAATGTTTCCTCTTTGGTGAAATTGGGGTTTACCAAAGAGAGCTATTAGACAACAAACTGGCAATGTAGAGAAACATAAAATGTATGAAGAAGCTAATTTTGACTTGCAAACCTGTTTGCCCTATTACAGGTTGTGATGATTATGCCTCATGTAAAGCCTATAATTCCCTGTTGTAATATAGACTCTGTTGCTGTTGTGTCTCAAACATTTAGTCATAATTTTCTTTGTGAGCAGACTTTTGTAGGAAAGTGTAGTAAAAATGTTTGGCTGGTTTGTACAAATTGTACAAGTCTAAGGAAAGCTTTTTTTACTTTTTTTTTTTTTAAACTGTTTTTAATTCATACAACCTTTTTACTGAAGTGCTTTCTTGGGACCCCACTAGAATGGGAAATTTGGAAGGACTTGAGCACAGTCATTTATAACTGTAAGAACGTGGAACAGAACTAGAGTATCTTTTTTGAACTGTATGATTCTGTGCTACAGCAAAGATTTTGAAGTCCAGTGACAAAGCACATCATGTTCCCCTGAAGCAGCTGCTCCATAGGTGTGGGGATAGCCTGTCACTGCAAAGAGTCACTTAAATGTCTGGAAAGGGGGCTGTAGTTAAAGCAGTTCTTCAAGGATATAACTGTCTCAAAAAAAAAAAAAAAAAATCACAGGAATTTCTGCACTATTTCCTTTATTTTTCTACATTATTTGGATATGGCTTGTTATCTTCCTTAGTCTGGGACCAAAACATTTCTGAATTGGGGGAAGAATGGAGGAGACCACATAGGAAACCATCCCCACCAGGTCTGGTTGCAGTCCCTGTAAATCGTTAATACTCTCTTGGCAGCACCATTGTGGAAGAGACCTGTATGTGAAAATTAATATTATTGGCAACCTAAATGACCTGAAGTGAGAATTAAAGAAAAAAAAAAAAAAGAGTAGACTTTTATAAATATTCAGAGCTTTTATTTCTTTGTTAGAATATAACCATATGCAGTTACAATCTAGGAACAAAATGAAGGGGCAGAAAAGAATCCAAAATTTAAGACATGCCAACCAAGCATGATTTAGCAGATTGTCTTAGGCTCAATACATTTGTTCATATGATAATCTAATGTTTGATTTGTTTCACCTCTGTTCATCTTAGAAAGTAATTATGTTTAAATTATTTTAATCTTCTTCACTAACTCTGTGCATTCATTAAATATCTAGAAAACTACATCCACATCTTATAACAAATTTAACTCTTGGAAGTTTTCATTATAATCTCATTGTAGTGCTTTACTAAATTTCAAGTTTTAGAGAGTTTGAGCTTTTATTTATTCCAATACTATAGTTGAGACATGAGAGATGATAGTAGGACTAAAATTATTGAATTGTCTTGCTTATGTTGGGCATATGTAATACTTAATTTTTAATCTTATTTCACAAAGACATATATCTGCTTAAAGCAGAGTCATGATATTCACTACTGGTCACAGGTGCTGAGTAGCCAAAAACGAAGGAATTTGGGAATGGCCAATTGAGTATTTAGACTGATAAGCGAATAGTACTCAAGATATTGTCAGGAAAATCAAGGAGAGAGCATCTCATCCTCTAGAATGACATTTTTGCTTTATTTTTTCTTTTCCAGGTCCTTAAACCTCCTAACCCAATGCTCTCATTCCAAATAATAAAACAAATGTCTGTGTTCACTTTATGGACTTTCACTCCTATAAATTGTAAACTGTGTGAAGGAGGAAAATAAAAAACCAAGCCAAACCATCACAAGCCTGTTGCTTTATTTATGCCATTGATTTGGAAAGCAGACAAGTCACCCAGAGGAATATGCTGTCAGCAAACAGAGAAAAGATTCAGACACACAATACAGCA